CACCTGAATCTCCTCCTAGAGCACCATTGTGTTCTTTTTAACCAAATATCTCTCAGAGGGGTGTCGGGAGTGACACACACACGTTTTGTATACTGCATATCTGAGACCTATAACAAAGTAATGAAAAACAGTATAGAAAGGGGAGCTTTCATCTGAACCCAGGCGGCCGGTTATATCATAAAACGTTCGTCTTACTTGCAGTAGTCCAGTCCGATCTTGCCTCTCTCCATCATATCCACCAGTCGACCAGGCGTAGCGACCAGCATGTGACAGCCTCGCTCCAGATCTCTGATCTGCTGACCAATGTCCGCGCCTCCGTACACAACACAGGGACGCACTCTCGAGCGGTAGGAGAACTATAGATAGAAACAAAAATGTTAAAAAAAGCACAAGGACAAATATATCTCCAGTTTTTTGTGATTTCATGCTCGTGTGTTTGTATTACCTTCCTGGCTTCGTCGTATATCTGCAGAGCCAGTTCTCTGGTCGGAGCCAAAATCAGTGACATGGGGAAGTGCTTACGACGGCCATACTTTCCATTGTCCTGTAATACAATGACACAACCATTCAGGAACAGTGGATGTTTTGTTATTTTTAGCACAGTTTAGAACCATGTTTACCTGAATATGAGCTCAAAATAAATAGTAAAGACTGTTTATTTGAATTTACTAGGCGCATTACTTCACTCACTCTCTACTATTTGTTAGAAAATGGTCCCTAATAGAAGTTTGACTGTCTTGAGTTGAAGCTACATACTGCTTTCTCTGCTATTAAATACCATTTGCCAATTAGTTGTCAAGTTTATCCCCTATTTAAACTATATGTAGTGTTGTTATTTGTCAAGTTCATACACTAAAAGTACAAGGTATCCACTCTAAAGATGTTTAATTCCAATAAAACAATAGAAATCAATAGAAACGTTCTCGAGCAAATAGATTAATGCGTTTTACTAAATAAAGCACGGTTATTTCTTCCCCACCTGTCCAGATGCTTTAGCTGCGTTCAGAGCTTCTCCTGGTCCTTCGCTGAAGATCTGGCTGAGAATCGGCAGCAGGAAAGCTGCAGTTTTTCCAGAACCTACAGACGCAAAGTCAAACATCTCAGAGTATCATAAAAAGTTAGCAATGATTGAGAGTCAGACCTAAACATTTCAGAAGTGTGTATCTCACACTGCTGTAACTTTAATTCATGTATCTTTGCTTTTAAAAGTCATTTCATAATTTATTTCTTAATGTCTTTCATTTTTGTAAAGCACTTTGAATTGCCTTGTGTTGAAATGTGCTGTATAAATACACTTGCCTTGTCTATATGCATTAGTGTGTGAGTGAGTGAGTCTGTGAGTGTTTCTCAATCTCGAGTAAGGATGCTCCAGAGCCACTATTTCAAGCATGCTACGTCATCGAGTGCCACCGAAGTACTGTTCCAATGTCCAGCACACTTGGAATTCTACCGAGCCCGGCGTACTTCGTTTGGAGAAATTTCGAGGCTGCACATGTGTAGACTCTGCGGTCTTAAAATCCCCACAATGCTTTGCGCACGGACCAATTTCTCCAAATCTGTGGCGGAAAATGTAAGATGGGGCCTCTCGTATGACGCACACTTGCTCGCCTGTTCCACTCTTCGTTTTCCGAATGCTAGGAAGTATTCTTGCCTCGCTTCTGAAGCAAGACGTTCGGAAGACATGTGCTACCAAGCAAGCGTACTCGAGATTGAGAAACACCCAGAGTGTGTGTGTGTGTGTGTGTGTGTGTGTGTGTGTGTGTGTGTGTGTGTGTGTGTGTGTGTGTGTCCCCTACCTGTCTGAGCGCAGGCCATGCAGTCCCGCTTCGACTTGACCACACACACACACACACACACACACACACACACACACACACACACACACANACAGTTGCAGTATTTCCATAGAATGAAGGATTGCATGTTTTTCCTCCTTCCAGATGTCCTTTTGATTCACTTGTTTTAGCATTGAAAGAAAGTGTTTAAAGGACCACTCAGTCGTTAAATCCGACTGAAACCTGGAGTTATCGGTCTAGATGTCCCGGTAAACGGCAGCACATTGATCGGTCACTCTGTGCTCCACTAACAGATCCTGGCCAGGGACTTCCTGGAGGAGTACATCTTCCTGGCGGTGGGCCGAGTGGGCTCCACCTCGGAGAACATCACCCAGAAAGTAGTGTGGGTGGAGGAGAGCGACAAGAGGTCTTTCCTCCTGGATCTGCTCAGCGCTACAGGTGAGACAGTCCAACACTAACATCAGATGTGTCCTAACACTACCAGACATTTACTTCTGCTAACACACACACACACACACACACACAGTGCGGTTTTATTTCCCCAATCCTTTTCACCATTATCATATTGTCCTGTCATCCCAGTCTATTTGTGCATTAAGAGTCGACAATTCTATATTATTGTGTTTGCTTCAGGAAGGCAAAAGTGAGGATGTGCATAAATACAACTCCCACTCCTGAAATTACAACGAATGCTTTAAGTCCCCTCCTTTTTTTAAAGTAGAAGCTCATTAAGAGTTTGAGGTAAAATAGGCCCTTTTTCTTTTGGTGGTGAACCCGATGTATTGATCGGAGCGAACCTTGGGTACATGAGGAACATACAGGGTTGGTTTTCTACTGCTGATTGAGTGCAGTTGACATGTTGGTGGTTTGGTGTGGTTTTATCCAAAGTCATCCCCAGCGAGGTACAGGACAATACTGGAGACAACATAGAGAAACCTGGTAAGATCCTCAATGGGGACACAATCGTATCTGTCATTTCACATTTTAAATAAGTTTGCTTGCCCCCTTTTCGATGTTCCTCTCTGTGGACGGAGAATCCTTTTTTGTTTATTCATATTATTTTCGGTTCTGTGTACCATTTCATGAATCCGGTTTGCTAAATCAAACATGCCTGAGTTATTTGTGACATTTTTACGTGCAGTATGTCGCTGTGGTGTCAACATGTCAGACCCAAAGCCTTGATGGAGAGAGTCTGGTTATGTTTACCAGCTAGAGAGACCTTCCAAACTGAGGCCAATACACACCTTATCATCGGGTAGTGACGTGCAATAATCTTCACTCACTGTGACCAAACTCTCTCCAGCAGTGGCTCCAGTCACAGTGCTGCTGACACTGTGCTTTATTGTTTCTTGTAATTATTGTTTCCCCACACTGCACTCCCTGCTGCCTGTTGCACTGTTCGGTCCATAGAACAAAGTGTACTGTGATGTGATTCATTAAAGTGCATGTTAGAAGCAGCGTTACCTGAAGATCACCCAGGTTAATGTGACAGAGGTGTGATTTGATTATACACCAAGTGATTTACAACTCTCCCCGTAGTCTCTATGCTGCAACTTATTTTATAGCTAAAGCAGTTTTTTTGTAGGAAATGAATGAGTAGGTTAATGAAGGTGGTTGATTTCACAATTTGCCAGCTGTAGATATCCAGGTGTTCGTAGGTTTTCTGGCAAAATAACAATATAAAGCTCCTGGTGTCAAAAACGTTAGATTGCGTCACATTAAATTGTGTAAAAAGATTACAGATGGCATCCATGTTTTGGGTCAAATTTTGATTGGTTGTGGTTCATCCATGTGACCAAAACCCATTAGTCTGTATTTTATTACACTAAGGATCGCGGGTTCGACTAATGTGTTTTTATCTAAGGTTCAAAACAAGATGCCACGCCAACAAAACACCAGTGTTGAGTTTTGTTTTGTTACTTTTCTCCATCTTCCACATCCACCACGACCATCCTCTCACTTCTA